CGGGAATTGGGAGTCAGTATCTTCCCTTGCCAAGGATCTCGTGGCTCAGATGTTACACGTAGATCCGAAGAAAAGAATTACACTACAACACGTTCTGAACCATAGGTAATGATGATGGTTATGACTATGATGATGACGATGGTTGTTATGATGATGGTGATGATGGCTTTGATGATGATGGTTGTAATGATGATGATGGTGGTTGTGATGATGATGATGATGGTGATGATGGCTGTGATGATGATGGTTGTAATGATGATGATGGTGGTTGTGATGATGATGATGATGGTGATGATGGCTGTGATGATGATGGTTGTAATGATGATGATGATGGTTGTGATGATGATGTTTGGTTTTTTGGCTGTGAGGTTAGCCACTTCACAATAAATCTTTTTTTCTCTAATTTAAGTTTAATAAAACTAGTTATATTAATGATAATAATAATAACATATAATAATAACATTAATGATAATAATAATAATAATTATAAATAATAATAAATGATGATAATAATAATCCCAGATGGATCGAACAAAGAGCCACCTTACCCCAGCTGAAGCTTAACATATGTGATGATAGTCTTATCAAGGTGACTTTTACTATTATTTTTGTTATTGTTATCACACACGCCACACACACACGCGCGCGCACACTCACACACTCACTCACACACACACGCACAACACACACAGTCAAGAATCAAAGCCACCTTGAAAGCCATACGACTAAACGAAACTTCCACTCTGGCCCTGGCACCCGTTGGCGCGTCACTATTGGCTCAAAGGAGGGGTCGTGAAAGGCCCAAGAATTCAACCGAGGTCTGATTGTCTGAGTGACTGAGTAAGAGAGTGCGAGAGTAGATGAATGAATGAGTGAATAAATGAGAATGTGATCTGAGAGAGATGTAGAAAGAATGTGAGGGTATGTTTGTAAATGAGGGAATGTTTGTAAATCAGAAATTCTAAATGAGTAATTAGGACATTAATTTGAAATAGGAAAGTAAGAGAATTAGAATAAATAGAGAGAGACAGAAAGAGAGAGATTGGAAGTTGGAGAGAGAGAGAGAGGGGGCGTGAGAGATAAGAAAATAAGAAAAGTCAAAGAAAAAGTTATTTAGAGATTTAGGGAGAGTTTAAAATGTTAAATGAGTACGGAGATGAATGAACAATGAATTAGCCGTTAATTAAATGAATGAACGAACGAACGAACGAAGAAGTGAATAAAAGAACGAATGAATGAAAGATTGAATGACGGAAAATCATGACATTTATCGCATCACGGCTACCGTACATTACCAAAACACCAGAGATTTAGGAAAATATGCACGAACGTATGCCTATGTGTTTATGTATGTACGTACGTACGTACGTATGTATGTGTGTATGTGTATATGTATGTGTGCATGTATATAAGTATGTGTGAATGTATGTGTATTGTTATTTAAACAATAGTTTACCCTATAATTATATACATTAATTGTTTGTCATTTGCTTCTAAGATTTTTTTGCTTCTCGTATATGAGAAAAATACTTTGGTATATGCTACTATTTTTACTGGTGCTATGACTACTACTACTACTAGTAGTAGTAGTCATAGCCTACTACTACTACTACTACTAATCCTACTACTAATCCTACTACTAATCCTACTACTACTATTACTGCTGCTGTTACCACTAGTTCAACTACTACTACTACTAACTACTACTACTAACTCCTTCTACTACTACTAACTACTATTGCTGCTACTACCACTAGTTTGACTAATAACTACTACTACTAACTGTTACTACTAACTACTACTACTAACTACAACAATAATAATAATGATATGTTTATCACCATCATCGTCAATTTAGTCAAACGAGATACTGCCATTGAACTCCTTAAAATTATTGTCGCAGTTGTTTTATACATTTTATCATTGTTATTATTATCACTATTACTATTAAACGCCATTTATAAATTATTCCGAAACATTACAAATTCTCATTCATTTTTCACAAAGATGAATTTAAGTTACCCTATATATATATATATATTTATATATACGTATATATATCTCTCATTGAAGCAATTTAATATTTGTGATATATATATATATATATATATATATATATATATATATATATATCATACTACTTATAATTTCATAAAGAGTTTTTTATCTAATCATCTTTTTACTTCCATTTCAGAGAATTTGCGTTTTCGTACGTGTGTGTGTATGTATGTATGTATGTGTGTATGTTTGTATCTATCTATCTATGTGTATATCCATTTATTTAATGCTATTTATTTGTATACACGTGGACGTATGTGTATCTATGCCCACACACACACACACAAACACAAATACATACACACATGTATTCTTATTCCTCTAATTTATTCTAAATGACCAGTTTATCATGATGATTAAAAGATTGAAATTGATAAGGATTGAGAGAGAAAGAGAGAAAGAGAGAGAAATGGATATATTGTTCATTCATTCATTTCATTTCATTTTCAGTTTATTGCTGGGTCATTTTGTTCGTATTTATTTACACATACAAAATATTTCGCCGTAGTTCTAGTTATTTGTTTAAATTATTTTCATATTATAAGGAGAGGGAGAAAGAGAGAGTGAGAGAAAGGAAGGAAGAAAGAAAGAAAACGAGAATGAATGAAAGAATTAATAAATAAATGAATATGAAAATAAATTATTTACTAGTCCATTTATTTTTGTCTCTTTATCTGAGTAGCGATTTTATCTAGTTTATTAACTATATATATTATATAAAAATATATATATATACATATTTGGACTTTTTTTACCAGGTATTTTTGAGTTTTTTCTTTTATTAGCCAGCCAGATAAATGTTTTGTGTTGTTTTATTTATTCATTCTTTTGTACTTGTTATTAAATTCACTTTTACTTTAATAGTTTAAAATTATTTTATTTGTTTGTCTGTTTGTTTGTTTATTTATTAGAAAAACGTTCTGCGTTTTTTTTGATACAAAGAAATAAATGTATTTTTCTGTTTTGATTTCTGTATATCGTTTGATTGACATGACACTGATTATATATATATATATATATATATATATATATATAATTTATATATTATATTGTGTTTGTTTGTTTGTATGTATGTGTGTGTACGCCTATTTTTGTGTATGTGTGTTGAATTAATTTGTCTATTTATTCGTTTTCAGTTAATTTCTTGAATGAAACATTATGTGTAGATAGGGATTGATTGATTGATTGATTGATTGACCGGTTAGTTGGTTGATTTTGTGGATGATTGGATAGCTCTTTGATTGATTGATTGTTAGATTAGCAAATTTGTATGTTTTTTTGATTGATTGATTGAAAGAACTTTAAGAAATTCTTGAATGGTTTCATAAAAAGTATTCTGATCATTATTTTTGTTACTGCTACTACTATTATTATTATTATTATTATCGTCGTTTTTATTATTATTATTTTTATTGTTGTTGTTATTGTTGTTGTTATTATTATTATTGTTGTTGTTTATCGCATATCTCTGCTTGAAAACTTCTTGCAATGAAAATTTGTATTATAATTGTTGGTCTTCTTATTGCTTTATTATTATTATTGTTGTTTTTATTTTTACTATTGTTATTATTATTATTATTTTAATTGTTGTTCTTGTTTTTGGCGTATTTTTCAATTCAGATTTGTGAATCTATCGGGAAAAAATAACTTTTTTTTCACCTTGAATCATTATCATTTTTTTAATTATTATTAATATTATTATTTCTATTATAGTTATTCGAGAAAATTAAAGTTTGTTAATCATTTTGTTTATGGTATATTTTTGTCCTCAATCAATCGATTAATCAATCAGTCAATCAATTGATCGATCGATCAATCTATCTATCAGTAATCTATCAATTAATCAATCAGTATATTTTTTCCTCAATCATTCAGTCAATCAATCAGTCAATCAATCAGTTAATCAATCAGTCCATCAATCAATCGATCAATCAATCAACCAATTAATCAATCAATTAAATAATTAGTACCGGCTTAGAGTTCAACATTACCATCGAGACCACGCATCTTTGCAATGGTATTTGACACGCGCTGGGGACAGCTCTCTGTTATAGTTTCATATTCAGTCGCGGTCGCTTGCAGTAAGTTTTTTATATTCAGCAAGGGTTCTGTGATCTGGAGGCCTAGGTCTTCTAGAACGTTCGTTATGTAATCTGTGATTGGTTAGTGGATTGAGTGAGGGAATGAGTGGATGGAAGATAGTATTAAATAAATGAATGAATGAATGGATGAGTTAGTGAATGAACAAACAATTTGTAAATGGATGGACGAATAAAACGACATGGTATAATTATCTGAGTCATTTATTTAAACCAAACCAATCAACCAACCAGCCAGCCAATCAACCAATCACCAAAAATTCACTCAACCAATCAGCAAATCAACCAACCGACCGATATCTGCCAATAGCTGTTTGGTAGAAACCGAAGTTAGTGACTTGATGAGAAGTATTTGCTGGCAGTACATATGCATGCAGCCCCGAGCTAATGACTCCAGCCAATAATCAGCCAGATGCTCTGATGGCTCTATGTACGTGTGTGTGTTTGTGTGTGTTTGTTTGTGTTTGTGTGTCTATATATATGTGTGTGTATGTGTTTGTTTGTGTTTGTGTGTGTGTATACAACGNCAAAATCACCATTCGCAAATTTACACAATTTCACATTTACATATTTTTTTTTTCAAACCAGACATACCTACCTA